TTTTTGGCTTTTTTTAGGCTCAGCTCAGGGCATGTTGCTGAGATTATTCTGCCCCATTTCTTTCTTCAATTGATAGCCATCATTTTAATCTTTTTATTTTTGCCAGCTTGTTTTAAGATAGATAAGTCTTTGGATTTAAATTGAGCCAAGCCATCTAGCTTGAACCTATTTATCGTTTTCAGTACAGATTATTTGTTAAATGTATATTAAGTTGTGATTCAATCTTTTAACTTTGAAGAATTTGTAAATGTGGAGACTGTCAGAAGACATTGTGTCTGGTTCTTGTAATATGTTTCACACAAAAAGTAAGTAATAGTCACAAAGATATTCAGAGATCAATGATTAGATCAATGCTTAACATATTATTTAGTATGTTTTAGTATTATGAATGAATACCTTTTCTTGTAGGAAGCAGTAAAATATAAGAACACATTGTTATACATTACTGTTGTTGAAAACAGTGACATTCTAAGATAACTTTCAGGTCTTTCTGAATCTCTGCCAGGGCTGTAAGTCAGGAGAGAATCAGGTGTCTTTCTGAAGCCTTTGATCCTGACCTTAGGAGATTGAGAAATAATAACAATAACATAAAAATTCTGATCAATAAACATCTGTCACCTCATTTCGTTGTGGATGCGAGGACAGACAGGGAGGGTTAAAGATAGAGAATTATCATATTTTTCTGGAATCCATCTATTTCTCTTAACACCTTTGGCAGATCAGCTGTAAGCTTGGGCTATGTGTCATCTTCCTCCTCACCCTGACTTTTGACATTATCTTAGCGCTCCAGAATTTAGCTTTAATATCAGTGAAGGTTATGGAAAGAAACCCAAAATGGCTAAAAGTTGATTTGGGGCTGCTCATAAGAATCAAGGTTATCATCTCCATTTCCAGAAAAATAAAAACTATTTTCATAGTTTATCATCAAATATTTGTAGCTGTTATTCTGCCACACATACCCCAATCCAGCAGAGCAGTTGGGTATTCTGGGAATATGGCAGACACAAAACTTTTGGGATGGAGCAGTGAACTTGGTGGGGTCTGATGATCAGAGAAAGCATCCCCTTTGTCCCTTCATATCTGTGGTAGTTAATTTTTATTACTGAAACAAAATACCTGAGATAATCAGATTAATAAGGGAAATGACTTCTTTGGGCTCACAGTTTTAGAGCTTTCATCTCACAGTCATTTGGCCCTCTTGCTCTGAGCCTGTGAGGGCACTGTACCTCATGGAGGGAGCACATGGTGGATGAAGTCTCATTATAGCAACTGGGAAGGAAAGGGAGAGAAGAATGGGATGGGTCTAATACCCTCATCAGGGCACGCCCAAGGACCTGACTTCTTTTCACTGCAAGAAGATGGTGCCTAGACTTCAAAACAGTGGTCTCTGGAGCACAGTCAGTATCCAAATTACAACAACATCATCTCCTTCATCACAGAAAGTGAATTGCTTAAGGAGAGACAGCAAGTCCTGGTTCTTTGCCTGCTTCCTCTTATAGGGTATAGTTACCTAGGGGACCCACTACAGTCCGAAGTTTCAGATATCAATATTGTTAATGTTATTTTTTGTAGGTAGAGCTTTTGAAGTCTTGGATGAACTTTGATATTTCTTGGGGATGGTTTTTCTTACCAACACTATTCCAATGGCATAGCAAGAATGAGGTGGATAATTGGGGTTAATAGAATTTTTCTTTTGAGGTTTTTCTTCCTACAGAACCTTGGGCTGGTCCCAAGGACAAGTCTAAAGTCTACAGGCAGCAGCATCATTGAAATGTGTGCAAAGGAAAAAATATCCTTTGACTCCCAATAAATAGTGGCCCAAGTGGGTGGGATTGCAAATGCATGCAAGGAGAAAATGGGTCAGAGCATGCATTAAAAGAACTGTGTTCAGTTAGGATTCATGTGATGGGGACCACATGCCAATGATCCTTTTTTGTTCAACAAATGGAAGTGATACAGCCTACTGTACAGAGGTTTTGTGCAAGTTATATTAAGCTGTATATATGATAGTTATTTCTAAAGTGCTGTATAAAAGTAAAGTATTATTATCAGGCACCTAAGCAAAGTTAAAAGCTTTAATAAAACCTATTCTTTACTTACCACTGCAGATCTTTTAAACCAATGTGCCAGCAAGACATGCTCACCTTTAAAAGTTAAGTTTTGAGACTAAGTGGCTTAGGAAACAATAAAGATGATCTAATATGTCAAGGGAGGCATTTAAAAAAGGAAGAAGTATATTAGAAAGGAGGAGACAATCTACTGCCTTCAAAGAACCGTATGTATTCATAGCATATTTGGAAAAGCATTAGATTTGGGAATGTGAGTGCTTTAAAGAAATAGGGTGCCATTCAGCACAAACTTTTGGTCAGGCAAGCTGATTAATAATAGGACCTTATCCAGGTGTGGCAGGAGTGTGTGGGTAATCCCAGCACACCGGGAGGCTGAGGTGGGAGGATCACAAGCTTGACTGTAGCATGAGAAATTTAGTGATTTAACAATTCTCTGGTTTAAAATAAATAACAAGTAAGTAAGTTTTAAAAGTGTTGGGCATGTAGCTCAGGGGCCACTGAAGGGCCAATCCCAATCATCCCCTAAAAAAGGACATTCAGTAATGGCAGCCCTTGATGGAAGGGGAAGGGGCTGTGGAAAACAGATTATGTGTGTTTTGTTTGTTTGTCTCTGTCACAGTGGCCTATGCCTCCAGAGTAGGTTCTTACATGACTTGAAGAATGAATATAATTTTCCAGAAATGTTACTGAGGGGAAGCACCTCAATCACACTAAACTTAATATATAAATTAGGCAAACAAAGAGATATATGTTTTCTGATTTAGATTTATAAAATAAAGATTGAGCTAATTATAATAGCAGGCTAAGTCCTTTGGCTTCATTAATTATTGCAAACTTTTGGCAATCCCTAGGTCAGAAGACTTTCCCCAAATGTCAGTTATGAATAGTCAACAAAACTTAAAATGAAAGAAAATAAATTTTTGGTTTGAGAACTCCATCTCTTAGGTTCAGGATGACATATACATTAAAATTATTTTATCATTGCTGGCTTCTTGGGGGATAGTCTAAGACTATGCCTAGGTGATTCATGAAAGAGTGCAACAATTGATTAACAATGTCTGTCATGGGTAGTGAAGATAAGGTTGGTGGCGAAGCATCAATTAAAAGGATTAAGTTGAAAACAAGATCGAACTTCTAAAGACTTTCCGCTTTCTCCTCCAATAACCCTCATGATTGTTACGAGCCATGGTTTATTATGATGACTGGAGTGTGGGAGGAGTTTGGAAAAAATATTGTGAGATTAATAGAAGTTCTTAGTTCTCAGCAGATATGGCTGTGCTTACCTCCACTTGGTCCTCTTCCCAATTTGTTTGGGGCCGTTGGTGGGAGTCCTCCCTGCCATGTTTACCCTGGAGGCAGTGTGCTGCTCATGGCATCTCTACAGGAGGGAGAAGGGACTATAACCATCCTCAACTTCCTGAGAGTAGGAAATCAACTTGATATTTTAGAGTTCTGTCTGTAGCGACTGTCAGGGTTGATTATAGCACACTAAGAAGCATCATCGGCAGTGGCTTGTTACAGAATTTGGACGTTTACTGGGATTCTGCTTGTTGCTTTCTGAATGGGGTCCTTAAAAAGTCACCTTGTACTTTCTGCCTGTTTTCATTAGGTCAGGAAAGTTTCTTCCAATCCTGAAGACTCTGCTGGCACTTCCTAGGCCTTAGCATGCCACAGCTCTAGGGGTACCAAAGAGTTGGGGTGCCATGGAATAGAGCTGACTTCACATACTAGTGTACAATTTACACATCCTTTTAAAAGTCTATTTCTAATAGCATCATTCCCCAATGTGGACTTTTGTTTCTAAGTTAACTCTAAACCAAATAACAATAAAAACCCCAAAACCAATCAGCTCCTGTAGCATGCCAGGTTTCTGATGCCTTGTGGCTTTCACAAACTTAGTTCCCTGGAGGGACCTCAGCTGACACCTCTTGCATTGCTTAAACTTCCCTCTCTTTACTTGTTTTTTAAAAAAATTCTTGAGCTGGTGAGATAGTTCAATGGACTAAAGTGCCTGCCTAGGCAAGTTTAGGCAAGTGCAGGGACAACAGTTTGATCCCCGGCACCCCATGCCACTCCTGCCCTGCCCCCAGGGTCTGGGTGTAACAGCACACACTTGTAATCCCAGCGCTGGGGAGGCTGAGAGCAGGTGGTTCACCACAAGTCCGAGCTGCATAGTGAGACCCTGTAACAACCAAATACGTTTTAAAAAAAAGACGAAAAAACATTCTTTTTCTTTAGTACATTTCTAGTAATTCCTGAACCTCTCCCATGTCCTTATCTGGGCAAAAATAATCTCTCTCTCTCTCTCTCTCTCTCTCTCTCTCTCTCTCTCTCTCTCTTTCATTTTTTAAAGTTTTTTTTAAAGATTTTTTTTTTAGAGAAGTCCAGACTGGTCTTGAGCTCACTACATAGCCCAGACTGCCTTAAATTCATGTGATCCTCCTGCCTCAGCTTCACCTGTCCTAGAATTACAGGCATATGTCACCATGCATGGCCTGAATTTCTTTTTCTGATGAACACCTTCCTTGGTGTCTCTCCTAAGATAGCTCCACAGCACCTTTTAACATGAACTACAACTAAGTGCTCATGTCTTCTTCCTCTTGGACCATGGCCTTCCAGAGAAAAAAGAATATATACCAATGTGGCTTTCAGAAGATACTCTATAACACATGGAGGCAGCTAATAATTACCAAACAAATGGCTGAATAAATGAGAATGTCCTTTCAAAGCTACGAAATCTCCCATGTAAAAATTGTGACACGGCTTCTAGAAGTAGAAGGCAGCTTAAAAAACAACAAGCATGTAAAGTATTGTAGTTCTGAATGTGTTAAAACATTTTATTTACTGAAAGTATCATACCATTGGGAGGATTTATTCTTAGTTTCTTCTGATCTGGCTCTTGCTTTTCTTTCTTAAAATTAGAAATCCACAGACAATTGTTTTTAGCTGAGTGAAATAAAGGATGGAGATTTGGGAGAAGCAAAAATATAGAACTGTCTCCTTTTTTAAATCTAAAATAATGACCATGAGGAAAACCAGCTTCCTTCTTAATACAGCGGTACCATATGTAACAATAGACTTCTTCATGTCCCAGCAGTATGAAGCATGTAGGAAAGAATGTTATATAGTGCAGGTTGGGAGAAACGATTATTTACAAGTTAATTATTGTAAAACAAGTCAGTTTTAGTTGCTGAGAGGTTAAAATAGCAGATTCAGAAAGATAAAGTACGTCAGCAGGTACATTAAAAATCTGTATCACAAACAATTGTCTGAGAGAATTGAAAAAAAACAAGTTAGAAAAAAACCCAGTTTATTAAGTAATATCATATAAATAACTTGTTACAAAACTTGGTTTGCAAAAGGCATATTTACTCTTCGTGAGAAATCATTTTTTAAATTGCATTCTTTTCAAATTTATAAGTCTGAGGAAACAAAACGAAATAAACTAAGCCGCTTCAAGGAGTGCATATTTGCCACTGACCACGACCACGACCTGGCCACGCTGAGCTACTCGGTAATCGTTTGCATCCCATTGTTCTAACACAGAAAACTTGGCCAACTGAAGTTATGAGAACCTCCTTAACCGGAAATGTGGACGGCACCGGAGCAGCGGTCGTTCCCTCGGGTCTTCCTGTTGCGGAGGCCTTGAATGATACCGTGAGCAGCCGCATGAGCAGAGCACTCCGACTAGTAAATCGTCAAGGGTGGCAACAACTCCAACTTATACTTGGAAGGATTTTTAATTAAATATAATCAATACCAAAAAGCCTTTATTTTCTTGATTTAAAGTCACAAATCACTGTAGGAGGATGCCAAATTGCCTTACCATGGTATTACTAAAGACACACATAGCATTTATCATAAGGCCTATGTTGATGTAGTTTACACTCAACGCTATGAAATGATCAACAGAACAGTACAGTGGGTTTGAAGTGTTCTCGTGTTTCTTCCGAGCAGACCCATTTTACATTGGCTGTACAGCAATCCCCCTGCACGCCTAGTAATTCTACACATTTGATTCTTTAATAAACACTAAACTAATAGATCATAGAAAACTAAAAGTTCGTGGAAGGTGCCTCCAGATATATTTACATAAATAGCGTAGTCTCACAAGAAAGACCAAGATCTCATTATAGTGGAATGCTTTTTCTGCAGTGCTGGGTCCATGCCTCATTTGTCAAATTAACCCCATTTGAGGAAAAATTTGAGTTTGTGGTCCATGGGTTTAAAAAAAAAATGGAATTAAGCAACTTGTAAAAGCTCTTTTGAAATTAATCTAATAACCAGTGGCTCTTCGGCTAAGTGCCTCCGTTCTGTCTGAAATACAGTGGGTAATAGCCTTTGTTTCCATTTGACCTCCTTTCTGCACTTTCATCTGCCGGCTCTGTTGGGCTAACGTTCCCCCCAAATTAAAAAATGAAAATGCATCATAAATAAGGTATTACAAAATAAGGAGTAGATTACAGATTGTCTCAGCAATGCTTAAATTAAATCAATGATGCAGAGACCATAAACTTCTAGCTTTAAAAATGAGCTATTTCTTTATTAACAAGCGCATGAGTCAATGTATTTGCTTTCTAAGAGGGTATTGCTCTGTGTTGTGTGTGAGCAGGGTCTGGTATTTTTAGTACAGAATTACCCCTTTAGAAACTTATTCCATAAAGATGCCCAAGGGAGATTAAAAATGCTGCAACTGTAATTGTCACTGAACTTTCGAGGAGACCATACTGCAATTCTGGATTCCCCAGAAGAGGAAGCTGTTCATCAAAGCTTAGGAGACGGTTCGTCTTCCTCGCAATCCGCATGCCAAGTGTTAATCTTTCTACACTCTCAACCTGATGAGGAAGGTGAGGCTGCGTTGCTAATTTAAACACAGCAGACTGCTTGGATTTTTGAATCCCTCATCACAATGTCACATTTCAAAAAAGATTTCATCTAGATAAAACATAAAAATTAAAATCACACTAAAATGAGCCTTTTCAGAGAATGCCTTTCAAAAATAGTGGGGATCATGACTTTTTAGACTGTTCTCCCAAAGTAATTATACCACTTCAGAACTAGAGACGAGGATAAAAGAGCTTATTTGGTGATTCTGCTGCTAGGGAAAATGAGTTTACTTGATAAGTGTAAGTACCTGACTTAAAACTTCCGTTTGCGCCCGGGAACCAACTCCATTCTTTCTTTTCAGCTGCCTGTTTTTATGATTCCAAAAAAATACAGAATCTCAGAGCATCCTGTTGGTAGGTCATATATCATTATCCCAAAGGAAATATGCATTTCAGGGCACAGCATTTGTTGTAAGATATTGTTCAACAGTACAGGACATCTAAAATTTATGTACTCAGAAGTAAGCAATAGAAACATTACCAAGTTATTTCAGATCCACAAAATTTGGATGCTTCTATGATACGGATTCAATTTTTAAGAACTTCTTGCACAACTTTTTAGGAGCTGAAAATGAAAACTAAGCCACATATTTTTGCACTGAGTTAAATTGAATCACCAGCTTTTTTCATCTAAAAGTGGAGTAATTTTGTTGCTGAACCTTCCTTTATGCACCTAGACTATCAAACCAGGGACGCTCAAAAGAAATGTGTATTTACTGTGCCCAGACTGCTCTTCTGATTTTATGAGATTATCTTTCTTTCCTATTTGATTTATTTAATTATTTCTTTTCAGCAGAAAGCGGGCACAAAGTGAAGGGGCTTTCTACTTAGGTGCAAGGGGTGAATGTTTTTAAAATCAGAGCTTATTCTAGGGTATATCTTAGTGGTTTAATACAATGCTTCCCCTTGAATAGAGAAGAAACAGTCAAAAAGGCCCCAATGTTCTTGAAATGATTCCATACACAAAAGAAACCTACTTGTGTTTCATAATTTTTTTATTTCTGTGATAAAAACAGATATTAAAATTTGACCTCTTCCCAGTCTCCTTCCACCTTCTCATTGTCAATATCTAAAACAAAGACACAGACAATGTAAAAATTGAACTTAAAACTAACTATCTTATGTTGACCCAGGACCTAGGACTTTAGAAAAATCTGGGCATGGTGCAGTGTTGAAGCTGATTTTTGGTGGTAGGTAACTGAGCATGGGCAGGGGCATGCTGGAACTTTTTTTTTTTTTTTTTTTTTGGTGGAACTGGGGATTGAACTCAGACCCTTGCACTTGCCAGAAAGCGCTTATTTCACTGAGCCACCTCCTGGCCCCTGGAACTGTTGTTTTTAATATTTGCACAATGTCATGATGTCTTATAGAAAAAATCCCATCAGCCCTACACTTACAGGAACATAGTACTAAATATTCAGCTCTAAGATCAGAATACCTAATTTTCTATAGATTTATTTTATCATAGCTTTTGTCATAAGAAGTTAATCAATTTTTCAATAGTTATGTCAACTTGTTCTTGACACAACATGCCATGTTCAGAGTGGAATAAAATACCCTGCCACTTATATCTCAAAGGTTTCCTATTGAACTACTTTCACTTAGAAGGAAAAAGTCAACTTTACTCTGAAACATGGGAGATTGTGTCAACTCTCAGAAATTCCAGTGAACACCAAAAGTTCAGAAGTGTGACTTTTGATACTACTTGTCTTTTGATGGGACCATCTTTCTTGGCTCAACTTTTTATCTGATGTGAACCACAAAGACAGAGCACCAATGTTACCATAAATCTTGTGATTAAGGTGCTGTTCTATTGCTATAGATATCTAGTGCTTATTAATTTCACTAAGCTATCTTTTTAAATATTTGCTTGTGACTATGGTACATACTGACTCATTGCAGTGAGGCCCTTTTGTAACATTTGGTTTGCATTCCTCTTTGTGCGTGTGCATGTGTGTGTGTGTGTGTGTGTGTGTGTGTGAGAGAGAGAGAGAGAGAGAGAGAGAGAACTAGTAAAAGAGAACCTTAAAAGTTGGATATAGCCCAGGCATGAAGCATAAAATACTTGTTAATATATAGGACAGTCCATTACAAAGCAGGAAATCATTCAGGGAACAGAAGGAATGATAAGGTTGTAAAAATTTTCACTCTGACTCACATTCCACATTTCCCTTGTTTTAAAGGTGTGACCTTTATGTCCTGCATAGTGCACCCCTGCAAACTTAACTAAGCAATGGTGTGTTTCCAAACAGAAAATAGATGCTGAGATGACATTATCCCCAAATAGAAATGACACTAGATTATCTCTAGAAAATGAACATTGATTGAAAATAAATCCCTAAGATTAATAAGTGAAGTCAACATAGTCTTAAATATATATTATATATGTACATAGAGCCTGTTTTTAAAGTTTTCAGATAAGCATGTTTTCATTACAGTACTTTGGAAGTTTCTGGTGACTGCACAATGTAAGATTCTAATGATAGAAGTCATTAGAACAGCCATATGTAGTAAATGATTTGAACCTATCAGAAGGATTAGTTTGGTTCAGTTGGGTCCCCTGGATAATAACCGACTACAATGCTAATTGCATAATTAGAGAAATAATGGATTGGATGGATTTTACATTACTTTTCTGTCATAGCTTGAGACCATTACTTATTATTAGTTCAAAGATAAGGATGGTAGGGCTGCCATCCTGTTGCCATGGAAGCAAAGTTATAAACAATGAAAAATAGTAATACTTTTGAAGGCCAACTGTCATTTAAATTACAATCTTAAGCACTCATGGTGAAGAAAATCCAAGTTGTATCTTTGCTTCCATCTTCCAATCACGGAATATGTTTGTTTCTACTGTGATTTCAGTGTTCTTCTGTTTGTTGTATATGCACATAGGTTTTCTGGAGGTGAGGGGCATGGGATTAGGAGCAAAAGTGGCTGGCTCTACACTCTTCCTTGAACTCCAAGAGTAGAATTTGAGCTTTATTTAATCTATCTTTACTAAGTCAGGTTAATTGTGTAAGAAGTTTCTGAGGAATAAGAATTATTATACTTCACTCTGCTACTTTTGGGTACAGTAGAATAATACAACTACATACAAGGAATTAACAATTTGTCCCAGGGAAAAAAAAAACAAAAAAAAACAAAAACATCTTTCAAGACCTTTCAAATAATTAGATTATTGGTCATTAGCCTACTGATAGTTGAAAGGATTTCAAGAGACCTGTGCTACATTTGGTGACCAAAACTTTAAAATATGCTAAGTATTTCGTTTGTGTACATTGTTAGTCATTTGCTCTTTTCCTTTATATGTTGAAAAGGCAAACTTCCGCATGTTCTATATGTACCACGCTGTTACCGGCAAGGAATGCTGTCTTCCGTTTCTTGTTATGGTTATCTTTGAATGTTACAATGTAATCTGCTTCCATTCCTTAAGAGAAAAAGAATCTGAAAGCTTTTGTGGATTTGATGTTTTCAGTTGCTGTCAGAAAAAGTTCTTAGAGTACAAACAAGACTGGCTGAATGTTATTTTAAATTCTTTGTCACAGAAATACACACCCTTACAACCCTTCTATAGTTTATTATTATCTCCTTGTGAGCTGATAAATAGGAACAACTCCTTAGTTGTACCTTATTTTTGTTTAAACTGAAACTATATTTTTGTCATTAAAGCACAATCCTTTTATCTCGTCAGTATGTGAAATGTACAGTTAGGGCACTCATCTGACCTGAGGCAATCGTGTCATAAAACACCAGGTCAGCCGTAACTAGCATGTTCCAAATCTTCCTTCAGGGAAAAAGGGAACGTACAGCTCTCTGTCCGCTCCTCCAGAACCTGCCTACTGGGCTGACTTGATTAACTGGATGCACTAAAAAATAAAAATTTGCCTCTTGGAAGCTCATAAAAGTGTACTAGAAAAAAGTCTCTAACATTGGATCCACATGGACTGCAGCCATTGGCTTTTGGAACGGGTACAACAGAGAACCCTTCACGGAATAGTGGATAAATAGAAAGTAATAGCCACTTCACATATTTCAGTGTCATACTTGGAAATGAAAAAGGCAACCGATTAGGAGTCTTTGTCGCTGTCCACTCCACCATACATATCTGCCAGCTTTTTGAACCGAGGGCCCCAGTCACTAAGGTAATCATAGTCTTGATCTCCATCCGTGGTCACAGACTCCAGAGAGCTCAGGGAGTCGGCCACTGAACCAGTGCCTTCATAGGCATAGGTGGCCAAGGAGTCGTACGGTGGGGCAGTGGGGTCCGTGTCATTTTCCTTTAACCTTTGGTTAATGAAATCTCTGACATCGGTGTTGTCTCGAGCTGTTGGAGTCCGTCGGGGTAGAAAAAGAGCTTCAGGCACAATGTCCCTGCGTAATTTGTTGTCCTCTATGGCTTCAGGATTCCTCAGAGTGCCGATATCAAAGGCCTGAGTGTCTTCCTCTCCACCACCTTCGTCGTTGTAACTGACAATGTTATCTCTGATATCCTCTTTGGAAATGATCAAGGGCTCTTTCTTTCGTTGCCGCCTCAGAGCTGCAAACAGCACCACTGTCACTGGAAGCAGACAACGAAATAGAAAGAGAAGGGACAGTTAATCTGCTGCCCAATTAATGCTGGGAAGAAATACCATACTCCAATGTGAAGTTTTGAATGTGCTTGAATAAAGGCCGAGTCAACTTTTTACTTCAGTAAGGATGTGTTTGCCTCCAGCCATTTCCAAACCCAGACCCAAACAATGGAGTAAACATTTGAACGAAGGTTATAATGGAAATCTGTATACTTCAGGATAAAAAAAAAACCCATCATATTTTGTCAGTAGTTTTTTTTTTTTTCTTTTTTGCTTTGAAATGGCAAACTACTTTCACAGGAAGAAAAACTAAAGTAGTAAAAAAGCTCAGGCATGAGAAAATACTTCAATAAGAGTGCAAATTATGCCAAACACCTAAAATGCTCTGAAACTGGTTGTCAGGACAAGACTGGCGCCTTGGGGATGTGTGCAGAGGTTAGCATAATGTCACATCAAAAATAACTTTTGCACTATGCATTATTTTTTTCTTTTTCTTGAAAAGGTGTAAAATTAATTTAAAACCCAGAGTAGAGATGTGAATGTTTGCATACAAGCTTTTCCTCCATGTAAAGAGATATCGCAGATAATACCTAGATGTGCTGAGACTCACAAAGCTTGCTTTGGATCTCAAGACCAGCCAATTTAAGTGGGGTAGATAAGAGTACACATTGCATATTGTTCTGACTGAACTACATAAAACAAGCACATCTAAATGAGAATTCTTTATTTTTCCAAGGTTCTTATTCGCTCGTTTGATACCCAGAATGTTTGCTTTTTTGATTTTTCCCTTCTAATCCAAATTAGAAGCAAGGCAAGAACTGTGTGTAAATCGCTCCTGATCTTTCTTCACAGCTGGCTGGGTAGGACAAAGTTGGCTACCTGGAGAGAGACACATCTACCTACAAATGGGCCTATGGGTGGGAAATAAATAGATAGCAACAGCTGACGGGGAAAACGGCCATCCGAGGCAGAAAACACATTATTAAGCTAGGTTTCTCCAGAGGAGTTCATTACAGGAAGTACCAGTAATGTCTTTTTATTTTCTCTTCCATAACACAGCTCAGTTCTATAAGTCATGAAAATAGAAATTTTGCAGCAAGATTTACAGAACAATGGCTTTTTAGTGGGTAAGTACATCTATCTGCATAACAATGGGTGCCTGGATATCCGTGTGTCTTATATAAATTTATGACATTAATAGTATTAATAACTATTTATAGAAAGCTTTCTCTGTACCAACGACTATCCTAGATGCCTTCCAAACTGAATCTCATGAATTATCATAATACCCTATGAAGAAAGTGTCATTGTTATAACCCATTTTACATAAAAGAAAGTTAAGGTATAGAAATGTCACATGGAAAAGCCATTCAAATCCAGGTTTGTTAGACTAAGAAGCCTCAATTTTTAATTGTCATAATTGAAGAGTATTTGGGTTACTGTCTATTTCCAAAAGAAATATAATTTTGTCATTTTTCAAGCATGTTGTTGTGACTGTCCACACTCTCTGCTGCTACTGGAGAGCATCCTGATGCCTCATTTGTCACAAAATCCAGGGTCCCCATGCCTACTGTGTGCCAGGTGTTGTGCTAAGTCCTACCAGTGGAACGACTTCGTAAAGAGCCCTGCTCCTGGAGTCAGAAGGGAGGCGCAGGGAATGGTGGGTGGAGACGGAATATCACAATGTGTAAAATAAAGAGGGAAATCATTAGAAAGTGGTAAGTGCAATGTAAACAAGGAAAAGTGAAGCAGGAATAGAAGGATGTGCAGCTCTCTCCATGTTCCTTTCTACATGTCCATGGTTTTTGAGGGGAGGTTGCATCATTAAGCAAAGCTATGAGGGTTATCTAAGGAATTAGCTAAAGGGGAAAGAGCTGCAGGAAAGACCCCCCCTGGGCGGGCACCCTCATACTGCTGGGGCACTAGCCAGAAGACTCTGGCTGGATTGGAAGTGGCAAAGAAGAGGAGTAGAGAAGGGCTGTGCCCCACGAGGCCTCAGGGGCTCTGTTCCTCTGTCACCTTTACTGTGGTGGGTGGCAGAGGCAGGAAGTGGAGACCTGCAGGGCACTGGGCTGAGGGATGGCCATCATCTGTCTTATGCTGGTTGCTGTGTGACAGGACATATATTTGCAAAGTAGGGTTGTAACTAAGGATAGCCTTTGGGACTAGGAAATAAAGCCAAGCCAATTGTCCCTCAAAGAATCGAATGCTAATGTGCAGGAATTCTTTCAGTCATGTAAGGCAGGACTGCAGGTATCCACCAGTTTTCAGTTCTTCTCCAGCTTAAGACCTGCAGATCTCTTAATTTCATCCTATGCATGTATGGGAGGGCAACTCTTCAGAAGCGAGAAGGTAAATTCAAAAATTCAAAGGCATTTACTCACAGCTTAACTTTCATAGAGATAAAACTGCCTATATCTTACTTGCTTTATCATATCTGAACAGAATTTATAATTGTCCAGAAGTGAGATGTTTCTGAAAGTTATCCTTTATAGATTGATTTCTAAGCATATGGAAAGAATTCTAAAACAGTGATTACTTGGTGGTCCCCTTATCAGGGATTGAGCCTCCCTTTCCCTTCCTATTTGGGGCCAGAGGACAGTAATAAAGCTTTTGTAGGGGAGGGGTCATTGGGAAAATCTGGGCTCAAATCTTGTCATAAAAGTAGAATAGTAGCAGATCTAGCTTAACTTAAGTGGTGTGACCTTTCTTAGCTTGTTTGTAATCTGTAGAAGAGGAGGAATAATACAGTGCCCAGTGGTGTCCCTGGGAAGTAGTTAAAGATGAGTTTTGTGGCCTCGGAAGTGCCACAGAGACATGAGATGCAGCAGTTATATGGAAAAACTGCTATTGCTTTACTTCTGCAAAAATCAAGTTCCATAGGATCCATTTCCATGTTTTGTTTTTGGTGCTGGGGCTGGGGATTGGACTAGGGCCCCAGGCAAGCTGGACAGGGGCTGCACTCCTGAGTTACAGCTCAGTCTCCGGTCTACTTTCTTGCATCTGGGCTTCTTCGCGCATCAATGCAGCTCTGCTTCTCTGACAAGCTTTTGGGTCTGCCTTCCCTGTCTTCAACTGTTCCATGTAAGTCTGGTTTCTCTTTCAGCCCGGAAATTGCTCTGCTTTCAATAAAGTGACAAGGAAAGCAGAGCGCTGCACTGAGGTAGGGGGATCTTAGACTTGGAACTTAATTCTGTCACCTGTTACGCACGTGACTTCACATCTAGGAGTCTCAGCCTTCTTATCTAAGCTGCAGATAAATGTACATCAGGTGCCTCTGGGGAATAAGCAAGGTGCACATTTGTGAAGTTCCTTCACAGCATCTAGCCTATAGTGTGAACCTTGCTGGATCCATTTTCTCCATTTCTATCAGGTATGGGATTCCCAGTTGTTATGGTTTGTGTATAGTTGTCCCCCACAAAGCCTCAAGTAAGTCATGGGGTGGACTTACTTCTAGAGTTTGTGATTAACACATGACCCATTGGGATTATGGGTCTGAGTACTGCTGGGATCATGGGTGTGAGTGCTACTCCCAGTGTGGGGTAGATAGCCTGAATGTGACAGAAGAAAGACAGAGAGACAGACTTGTTCTCTGCAGCCATTGTTGCTGCCACTTCTCCATTTTGCTCTCCTCTGCCACCACCATGAAAGGCTGCTCTTTGCCATGTACCGCTCTGCCTTGGACCCAGCTGATTATAGACTGAAACCTCCAGTAACTGTGAACTAAACAAACCTTTCCTTCCTTCATTTTGAGTGTCAGATATTTGTCCCAGCAATGAGAGAAGAGTGATGGAGACACCAATAGACTAAAGGGGATGAGAGGCACTGAGGCCAATTGGGAATAATGAAGAGACAATTTTCTCAAGGAAGGGAGTGAGAGGGGAAGATCGAATGACTGAGTTAGGAGGAAGAAAATGCAGAAGAGAAAATGTATCCATGATAAGGAAAAGTAAGGCGTCCCCTGTAGAAGATGAGCTTTCTTCCTTAGACATAAAAAGCCCCCTTGCACCATGACTGGAGCACAGCCCAGTCATCCCAGGCCTACTGAAAATACTCTTCTTTATCAACAAGAATATTCATGCCCTTTCCTTCCAAACAATTTTATAGGCTTATAGCATTAGGAACACTGATCTGTCTTTGCTCACTCTCAGTTTTTATTTATCCTCATCTTAAAATACTTGCCCAAATTTTAGTTGATAAATGGAATCACAGCTCTAAGTTGAATTTCAAGCCTTCTGTTATAATTAGCAACATGGATTTGGAACAGGAAGCTCTTGGGCAGGGAGCCTTCATCTTTCTTTCTTTGGAGAATTTTAGTCTTCTTGAAGTGACTCTGTCTTTATTTTTTAGAAGATTTTTTCCCTGATGTCATCTAGGTTAATTCTAACTTATAATTGTTGTTTTTCAGTGTTTGTGCAAACTTTACATGTGTTGCATTTGTTTTTGGAAGGACTATACTAGCTAATATGACTTCGTGGCTCACAAAGACTCAAGGGTCTATTGAGTGATTTGCACCCAACATTTTGGTTTCATTGGCTGGTCGGAGTTACAAATTTCATTTGAATCATTGTTAGAACTCAGCTTTAACTTTTATTGCTTTTCTTTTGTATTCCAGGTTTGTTTCCTTAGTCACAGACACTATTTATCATTGAGAATCCAGAAATAGTGGCCATTATATATGCCATAACCTATGAAAATAGTGGATACACCAAGATATTTGTTGGGTTAAAGAAAATTCCATGCTCTTATTTTTCATGTATGAAAGAGAAAAAGTCATCACACTCCTCTTTGCAGTTCCCACTGGTCTTAAACTTTACCTTTGTAGAAAAAGTCTGCATCATATGGCAAGTACTCCATGCTGGACAACTCTCTTTAAAATTTAACAATTATTTGCCAACTTAAATATTAAACAACAAATGAAAAGTTCATATTTATATTGCCCTCAAATCCCCCCAAGATTCATTTCTAGTCTTATAGACAAAATACTCTTTTGGTCGAACAGAAGCAAAGACATGGGCAAATTTCACATCTATTCATTCTCCAAAGCCATTTTCAAGCAAATGTTTGAACAACACAGATTCTCAGCATACAACTCTACTCACCTAGATCAGGCTGTATGCCTTAATGGGGGAGGCGGAAAAATCTAGAGTGTCACAGTGACAGTGTGTGCCCCTCACCAAGGGGAGATAGGATGCAGGGAGAAGCAGTTTACCTAGTAGGATCACGATGCACAGAAGGATAGCCACCAGAGCCCCCGTGCTCAATCCCGTGGGGTGGATGAGGGCCTCCGCATGGCAGGACTGCATGTTCCCATGGTGGTCACATGCACAGACCCGGACAGTCACTGTCCCAGTGCTGCTTTGAACTGGGTAGTCGTTGTCTGAAATGACCACAGGCAGGAGATAGGTGCTCATCTCATGTCTATTATAGCCATTTTTCCGAGTTAAGATGCCCGCTGTGTTGTCTGGAACCGAAAGCAAAGTGGTGAATGTATGTGGATATCACATTGTTTAATGAACCAGTTATGATGAGAATTGATAGACATAGCTACAGACACAGATGTTCATTTAGGTGCTGACAGAGACAGAGGTGGATTGATAGAGAAGGTAACTCGAACTCATTTACCTTTATTGTCACGAATGGTAAAGTTGGAGCCACTGGTTGCTTCAGGGGCCAAAGAGAAGGAAAATTGGTGTCCACTGTAAGGGTCATCCTTGTCAACAGCTCGTAGGGTCTGGATCAACTGAAATAGAAGCCATAACATTTTGATAACTGAAGTGTTTCTTACAGTATTTTAGTAGAATGTGTGGCTTTATGATGTTATGGCTTGAGTATTCAAAGGTTGCTGGCTGTAGAATATGTAATGCTGGACCTGATTCTGGTGCAATGCTAGGATCAAGAGCAGTAGGCTCAAGGGTGTGAGTGCTGCCCTCCCTAAGTAGCCTGGATAAGACAGAAGGGACAAAGAGAGCTGTGCTTCCCACACTTGCTTTGCTTCCTTCTGCCCACCATGAACTGCTTCTCCTCTGTGATGCTCGTTTGCCTTGCCACCCTGCCGATTAGGGACTGAAACCTCTGCACACTGCAAGCTCAGTAAACTATTTGTACCTTAACTTGTGGGTGTTGGGTATTTTATCTCAGCAATGAAAAGACATATGATGTTTAATGTTAATTAAAAATAATATTCCAAAAACTTACAAGTGAATCCACTTTATTTAGAGAATTGATGGGCAGAAAGCCATAAAATAACTGGAGAAGTCTTGATTTTGGGGGTCTTTTGGGATGTACATATTTAGCAGAAACACTGGTCTTTACCAACCAGATGCCAGTAGTGCCCTCCTACCTAAGTTGTGATAATGAAAATTTCTCTGGGCAGCACCACATATCCCCAGGGGCCCAAAGCACTCTGGCTAAGAAACTGCCATAAAAGATGACAATGACCTTTGACAACATCGTAATTCAATGACATGGAAGTACTCTTTGGACAACCTTTTAGAAATGTAGTCTTTGCACGAAAACAAGCTACCAACTTGCAGAAAACTAAAAAAAGAATTAGCATAGAAAGCACAGTAACTTTAGCTTTCCACTTTTCCATGTACTTTAATAGTGCACTTCTATTTTGACAAACTGTAACATAATTCTTATATCATTGGCAGCAAAGTCCTATTTCAGGTGGTGACAAATTGGGTAAAACAGTAAGACATTCATGAATTTGTATGACTTGTACGGATGAACAATGTAAATAAGTATAACTATGAAATGCAGGCAACTGTAAAATGTTTTTGTTATTACTTTTGAGTACATATGGTAATTAAACTATCTGTTCATCAGTAAAGATTTTCCCCAATAATGCTGAAACTAATCTATTTTAATGAAAACTTAAGACTAATTTAGAATCAGGATCAGTCTTAGACACTCACAATCTTCCAGTTCTTAAAAACTGTTTGTTCTCGTATGCAAGTTAAACATTTGCTGTGGCTCTTATTTATGATATTAATCTCCTTAGCACTGACTTCATAGATAATTCAAAACTAGCCCTCAGCTCTGTGTATCATCTGCATTATTCTGAGATCTAAATTAATCTTTCAATTTGAATGCACTTTCTTGCCGAACTCACCTGATCTGCCTTTGCTTTTTCACAGACAAAGGTTTCGTAGAACTCAGCAAATTCTGGGGCGTTGTCATTGACATCCAGAACTTTAATATATAGAGGTACTCGGCTACTTTGCTTTGGATTATCTGCCACATATCAAAAAGAAAGAAATAGCCTTTTATACATTGATCGCCAATCCTGTTCAGACAACATGCACTCATTCATGGCCATTCATGCATGTATCCTCCAAGGACATTGAAAACCATCTTAGGCACAAGAATGAAGAGCTGGGTTGTCTGGTGTTTCTGCACACTTTTTTTTTTTTTTTTTTTGCAGAACTGGGGATTGAACTCAGGCCCTTGTGCTTGCCAGGCAAGTGCTTATTTTACTGAGCTATTTCCCTGACCCCTATCTGGTGTTTCTGGAGGTGAAAATACCCATTAGGAAGCACTTTGGGTACACCAAATAAGGAGTGGTATTTTAGAAATAAAATTTTAAGGAGGGTAAGGACTTAGGCAGATGGGGAAAAATATGGACAAAAGGAAGACAAATGAAAACACCACCAGGAAACCAAGGCATTACGTTTCCTAGCTTTTTACTTGGAGGGAGACATCATGCTAAGAACTTTGATTTGTCTTTAAATCTTTCATTTATTTATTTATTTGGTATAGGGTCTCACTACACAGCTTAGACTGGTAGTGATCCTCCTGCCTCAGCCTGCCCAGTGCTGGGATTACAGGAGTGTACCATCATGGCCAGTTTCGATGGCTGGCATGGTTTCCAGGGCTGGCATGGCGGCATGTAGTACCGGGGATCAAACCTGGTCCTTGCACTTGCCAGGCAGGCACTTAGACTGCCAAGCTATCTTCCCAGCCCCAAGAATTTTGCTATATGAGTTTATTTAAATTTTAGAAACTTCTCAGGTAGATACAATTGCTGCCCCATTTCCTTTTTTTTTTTTTTTTTTTGGCAGAACCGGGGATTGAACTCAGGCCCTTGCACTTACCAGGAAAGCGCTTAATCTACTGAGCCATCTCCCCAGTGCCCCATTTCATAGATGAGGAAACAGAGGCAAAGAGAAATTAAGTAAGTTATCTATTTTCACAGAGACAGTAGGGGGTTGAACTTAGGTTCAAACTTGGATCTCTCTGACTCCAAAGCCCAGGCTTTTCATCTAGAATAATGATAGCCAGAATCAGTGTTTGAAGACCTGGGATAAATGAAATATTTTAGGTGACTTCTGTGATAGCCTCCTGGGTTAGACAGAAGACAGATTCCTATTGTAAGGATCAAGAATTGGAATCTCCTCCCTTGCTCTCTTCATCTATTTCACTCCTGTGTCTATTTGTTTGTTTGCTTTATGAATACTTGGTGACCTTCTAATATCTAATATGTGCTGGGTATTATTTGGGATGCTGGTACTTATAGAGAGCATCACAAAGATCTTGCCTCCTAGAGATTTAGCCTGTGAGTGAAATAAACAAAGTGTGTATGTATAACTATATAATGTACTAGGCAATAAAAGCTGTAGAGATTTTAAGCAGGAAAAAGGTCTGGAGAGAGGTGGAGGTGCTACTCTGCACTTAAGGCAGAGACAGATTCTCTAATGAGACATCATTTGCCCGCCAACATGCCTGAGGAAGAAGATTAAACCTAGGGAGTATTTCTGGCTTTCTGGGGTGAGGAAGTGCAAGAGAAAAAATGTTGAAGTGGTCGTGAGTTGTTTTATTTAGCTCTTGGCTTCTGGTACATCAAAGGTAGTTAAGAAGTGTCACCAATAAGATTCTTTCAATATATGTGCTTGTTTGGTTCATTGATACTTGTAGTTTGTCTTAGTTCATTGAAAAGAAAGTACACGTTATCTGTTACTTTTTTTGGGAGAATCTTTATCACTCACGTCTTGTATTGAGTAACTACTTTAAAGAAATGATGTACAGTATAGTTGCTATTAGTATTTTTTATTTGGTTTGAAAATTTGTTTTCTCATAAAAACAAGATTCTTAAGATCCCTTTCTTCTAGCATCTTTCTTACACCATTCTTGGGTTTGAACAGCTGATTCTGAATTTTATTTATTTTTATTTTATTTTTTTGGCGGAACCAGGGGTTGAACTCAGGCCCTTGTGCTTGCCAGGCAAGCGCTTATTCTACTGAGCCATCTCCCCAGACCCTAAATTTTAAAAGATCTTAATCACTAATACTTCTAAAAGTGTCATAGAAAATTAAATCCTAAGAGAATTTTAAGCATAAAACTTAAAATACTTATGAAATGACTACTTCAGTTAAAAATAAAATTCATGATGTTTTGAAAAGTGGTTCCTTTAACAGAAAATCATTTTGTAATTTTAATGCTTGAAGGATGCATTGCGATCGGTATACTCACACCAATTCTTGGCATCAATTCTGAAGAGCAAATGCTTGTCTAGCAAATCTCTAATGAGGTATCCTTATCACTATAAGAGAGCAGTGCTCCACTTTGCCTGTGTTGGTTATTTATTATTCCACACAATATGCTTCAGCTACTTCAAATCTCATGAGTTATGTTGATAAAATACAACTATAATAAACCATTTGATATGGAATATTTCACACTAAATGTCCAACAGAGATAAAAATGTTTAGAACTTCTAAAATTAAAAACAAAACTAGAAGGGTTATAATTCAGAATCCTATTTTTAGCATTAAAATATTATTTTAAAATAAATTTTCTCTTATGTGCTTCAGCTCACACATTGTATTTATAATTCACATTAATTTTCACCAAATATAATCATTTTATTTGAAGTGTTGTTTTGAACTTTTTTTTCTTTGCCTTAAATTTCATGGGGAGAACCACAGAATTTATTCTAAACATGTTATTGAGCACTTGGTGGTTTGCACTGCCCACTTTGTTATAGTATGGAGAAATGAAAATTGCGTGTCTTTGTTCTATAAAGATTTGAAAATAGAGTTTACAGACTAGAGAATGAATAAGCAAAAGACTTCTCAACAGTGCCTACATTTTAAAAATGTTTGGCCCCTGTTGCTCCCTGCTCCCTTATACAATGTCTGAGGGCCCATTTCTTCCAGTTGTTTTTGCAGTGTTCTAATTTATAAGTATTTTGGAATCCAATCTAATAAGTACAAATTAAGGCTCACTGCGGAGATACATCCTTATTTTATTGTCTCCAAACTGTGAAAGTTGCAAGATTACCTCCTCATTTATGAAAGAATTAAACTGTATTTAGAAGAGACATCCCTGCACATCATTCAGGGCTCTTCCCATCCATAGATCTCGAGCAGGATCCCAATACATGGTGAGGTGTTCCAGCCATGCTCCATCAGCCCCTTCCGGGATGCTCGCTCAATCAATCAGACTGGTAGCAGAACTAGATGGGACTTACTGATCTCTGTCGCTATCACTGTGATGTTGTGCCACAGCAGTGTTTCCCGGTCAAGAAGTTTCGATGTAAAAATCGAGCCATTTCCAGAATCAATGTTAAATATTCTATCCATATCTGTGTGTCGATCAACAGAGTACCTGAAAATGCAGAGTGGAATTTAAATAGGCTTTCCTTTTCTCACAGACTACTATTCCCAGAACCTATTATATTCATTTTTTTCTACTTAGCAAACATAGTTAAGTATCTATAACTTCATATTAAGCAAAATAATCTGAGGAGTTGAGGCCCTTGTCATAAACTCAGTAGACAAGTTGCTTGGTTTTGAGGATCACTACGATAGTTTCTCATTTTCAATGTGAAATTTGCATCAGGTTTGCATAGTAATTATAGTATTTTTGACTCAAGCTTATAGAACTCAAGATTTTAATGAATGTACATTTGTGTGAGCATACACAATATACTTTCTATTTACCATCCATTCTATTTTTAAAATCACCCAGTTGAAAGGAACAGAAGATAACTAGTACGGCTGAGCTTAGGAAGGAGGTAGGGAGGGTGATTCTGGGGAGAGAGCCAGAGTCCAGACTGCAGAAGGATGAGCTGGCCATGGAAGGGAAATGGGATTTTATTTTGTTTTTTATTTTTATATTTAAATATTTTATTTATTATACTTTTTTACTAGTGTTTGCAGTAAATCCTGATGCATACAACACAACTTCATTCTTTGTATTTTTCCTCCCCTGCCACCACTTCTTGATTTGTCCCCTTCCCATTTGCAAGAGCTCTGTCCTCCTGATTCTTGTCTTTCCTTTATTTTGCTTTTAAATTAGTTATACTTTGGGTTTCTCATGTAAGTGAAACCAGGACATATTTAAGTTTGTCTGATTTTTTTTCACTTGCTGGTATATCAAGGTGCATCCAACTTTCTACAAATGACTGAAACTCATTCTTGTTGGCACAGTAGTACTCCATCACGTGCGAATACGACATTTTCTTTATCTATTCATCTATTGATGGACATACAGGCTCATACCAAGATTTAGCTATTATGAATTGCACTGCTATAAGCATGGATGTGCATGTACCACTATAATAGGATGTCATTAAATTTTTCAGGAGGATACCCAGAAGGGGAAGAGTGGAGTCAGATGGAAATTCTATTTTCTGTCTTTTGAGTAATCTCCATTCTGATTTCCTTAGTGGCTATACTAGTTTGCATTCAAAGGTGGGATTTATTTTAAGCAGCAATGAGAATCTACCAAAGTTTTCCAATCTGGAAAGTTTCAGAATCTAAACCATTTAGCAAAGCTCATTAGTTAAATTGAGAGAATGGTTGGATGGTGCTGTTAAAAGCTTATGGAAGAGCAGTGAGAAACAGAATTTAAAGAAGACCTTAATTTTCATTTGTGCTATGCTGAATCTGAAGTGAACAGGAAAGTCTAGGAGGGCTTACCTACTCTGATACTTGAGAGAAAAATCTAGAAAGACAATTTAGATTTCTTATTCAATTGTATTTTTGTTATCCAGGAAGCAAACATCCAGTGAAGGATGAAAAGTGCTAAGGACAGAGTCACCTGCAAGACTCATAGCAGGTATCTCTGAAGACTAGAACAGTGCCTGGAACAGAGTAAGAACAGGACAAATATTCAAGCATGTGAGTTTGGAGAAATTCAGAGAAGAACAAGATCAGTGTCTTAGCCAAAGAAAAAATGAGTCATCCATCCTGAAAAATTTTTTCATCTTATTTATAAATTTTGTACTAGTTTTATTTATTGTTCTGGTGATATTTATTTATTTATTTATTTATTTGCAGTACTGGGGATTGAACTAGGACCTTGAGCTTGCCAGGCAAGCACTTATTCTACTGAGCTATCTCCCCAGCCCAGTGACTAATCTTTTGAATAGCAACATAAGGGGGGATTTATGTATGTATGTTTATGAGCAAAGAACATAAAAGAGACAACTTTGAAGGAAGTTGACAAAGACATTAGTAAAAGGTGAACGATTTATACAATTTGAAGAGAAACCAGAGTATAAAAATGATGTTGGAAAAACAATTGACTCTTTTGGCTGGAGTCTTAAAATTTATATTATGATGAGACGTTTAAAAATGTCAGTTTAGTAGAAATATAAAGTAAATGACCTACCTAGTCAAACCCATGTGGTGTTATTATGATTGCTATAAGAAAAGTTGTTACTAATTTGGAATAGTATACCATGTCCAAGATTCTATTTCGAGGAATTATTGTTGTTTCAAACATAAGTAGCGTGCCAGGCATGGTGGTTTACACATGTAAACTCAGCACTTGGGAGGATCTTTGTGAGTTAGAGACCAGCCTGGACTACAAAATGAACTCAAGGTCAGCCTGAGCTGCATTGAGAGACTCTATCTAAAAAAAGACAAAAATAAACAAACAAACAAACAAAAAACCCCAACAATAACAAAAAGGTAGTGACACTAATGTTAATAAGTTTTGATAACCCACTGCCCCACTGCCATCAGAGCAGCGAAGGAAATTATGGAGCCACAGAGGAATGTGATCGATGACGTAGTGTGTGCCTAAAGAGAGTCACATGGAGAGAAAACATTCTCTCCGGCTTTCACAGAGAGCAAATTGGTCAAGCAATGGCTGTGACTCATCCACATGGCTGACACTGACAAAGGATCTACAATCTGTGGTACAGGGTTTTAGGATAAGTCCTGAGGGGACTTCACTGAATGCGTCAGATAAAAAAGTTGCATATTTTGTTATATAGGTCTTGCTTTATCTTGGTCTTAACCATTCAGCAGAAAAGTGTAGAAATGAGGTATGAAAAGTGAAGCCATGTTAATAATGCTGAGCTGTGGTAGGCCCAAGTCATCATATTTGGACACTGCCACTCCTGTGGATAACCCACTACTATTGTGGAGTACTGGACTATATTGGAATATTTTGCTGAATTCATGCACCTACAATATTTGGATGGCAATAGAATACCCATCTCTGACAAAATGAAAAAAAAAAGGTGATATAAATGAAGTACAATTTTGTATCTGCATATACAAAACAGGATAGATATATAGCTACATTCTCTTAATTCAATAAGAAGAAAGATCTGTACTAATAGTGTTTGGACAGGATATCATGCCTGCATCTTGTGCTATGAATGACTCCTACAAAGACAAAAATATGCAATGTATTATTTGTTGTAACTCTCCTAACAACCAGTTTTGAAGCTGTCACATTGCAATTTTTTTTCTCCATAAAATTAATAAAAAATAAAAATAAGGAAGAATTCAACAAAAAAGTAGTGAATTGCAATGAATGGTATATTATTCTTACTAAAATTATTTTTGTTATCTAGTAATTGTCTAAATTAAATAGACATTCACCTGTGGTAGCTTTAGCTGGGGATATAGCTCAGTGGTGTAAGCACCTGACTGGCAAGTACAAGGCCCCAAGTTTGATCCCTAGTACCACAAAACTATCACAGGCTATTTAAGCTTAATTTTAAAGAGAATTAATGACGTTCACAGTGACCATATATAAAGTTACATATGATTTTAGTTTTCCATGTATATGGGCTAATATTTTATTATCAAAAGTTTAATAGTAATACAGCGGATGAAAAAGCTATTTTTGCCACTTCTGTGTGGCTCACCATTTATTAAGAATTTAGGCAACAACATTACTTGATCACCTCTTTTCATTTTTAATTTGAGAATGATAAATATTTATAATGCATAGTTAATTACAAAAAGGAAACCTCAATATTCATAAGCTTTGTGAGAAATTTAATAATTTAACCTAAGAACATATTTTTACTCATGAAAAATGTCAAGCTCCAGAAGTGCTGCTTAGTGCTTTAATAAGCTGTTACAATTATCCACAGCAATAATCGTTACCATGCTTTGTCTCCTTGCCTCCTGCTTTTAAATTATAAGTTTTACGAGTAATCACATTTTCACATCAAGCCTTGAAATAGAGGGTAGGTGGTAAGGAAGTTTTAAATTGGAGGCAGCTTTAAATTTTAAAGAGAGATTGACTATTTAGAAAATGCCAACAATTTACACTTTTTTCCCCTAATTGGGAAATCAAAAAAATTAATAGAAAACCTAAACTATCTGCATGGCTCAGGAAAGATGCTTACACACAAAGCCTTACCCGCATTTTGTTGCTTATTTCATAGCAATTTCAATTTTTATTAAAGATATTTACAATCCAATAACATTAATTGTAATCATCATCCTTAGAAAACAAGTTAACCAATTCCATCATGGTTATAGCATATCACTGTGCTAGGGAGCTCCTTTTTAAAATATTTTAACCTTGAGACTCTAATGTATTCTATGATTAAATAATTTGTTTTTATTATATCCTTAACTCCAGGAGATTTGTGCATTGTGAAAGGAGCTGTGTTTGTATGAAAATTTCTCATAGTGGGTATTTATAGTGGCATAAAGATTTTTTCATGGATAGCAAGTATTTGTGATAAAAGTTTTAGAAGAAGATTATTTTTGTTATTAAAAAATGAAACATGGATACAGAATAATAAATTGATTAATAAATTCATTTGGGGGAAGAATTCTCTTAATTTATCATCTGACATATTGTCTAGCTCTTATGTGTTCAATATTTTTGTCAAGAATAATGCAAAACTATGTATAGATTGTTCTTAATATGAGAGTGAATTTTATCCTATGAAAGGAATCATTTGAACATGCACTTATATACCAATATATCTATGAGTATTTCTGGCTTTAAATCTATATCCATATATCAAACCCATATGTACCAAAGGAAGGCTGGCAGGAAAAAAACTTTAAAATTAACTAACAGCCAACCCAGTCTGACAAGCTAACTACTTCCTTTCATAAAACATAAAATAATGCAGTGGGTAAAATGATATTTGGTATAAAAAGTAACAGGAATATAGAAATTATAGTCTAAATTGCCCAAAGACATTATCTCTTCAAATCCAAAACATGTTTATCTATCAACGAGGTAATTGAAGCTTATATTTGTAAACTTCTAGCTGTAACACTTTACATTGGACTTGATGCTGACTTGCCAAGATTTTTTCTGTATGCAGTTAAAACAAGTTCCAAGTGGAAGAATAGTTGTGAAGGTAATTAAGTTATTTGTGCTATTTAAGTGAAAGCTACCCTTCATTTTCATTATTAGTAATGTCAAACATAGAGAGAGAAACACTTCATTCCTGGAACTAATGTGTCGCTAACTTTAGACTGACGATAGTCCAGTTCAAGGTGACAAAGATATTCTAGTAGCGTAACAATTCAGGAGTTTATTTTTTTTGGCAGAACCAGGGATTGAACTCAGGCCCTTGTGCTTGCCAGGGAAGCGCTTATTCCACTGAGCCATCTCCCCGGCTCCCTCAGGAGTTTATCTGTCCATTGATTTAAAAACATTCTGAAAGTAAGATGGCACGTTTAAGCTTTCGATGGGAGGATCATAAGGTTTCATTTGAACAAAGGAGACTTAAAGACTAAGATGTTAGAAAACAACTCTTTCACCCCACCCTACCCCCCACCTCCTGCACACATGTGTGGACTCACTGGCTAGACTTCCTGTAGCTTTTCAATCACTTGCTGTATTTATGGAGAATATTTTGGACAATGGTGTTTTGGTTTGTACTCTTACTTAAGCAACAAGGCTGCTGCCTGAAGGCTGGGGGTTGGTTGTCTCCACTGTTTTCATAAAATTCTACAGTACTCGAACCTTCAGTGGTCCCAAAAAGCAATGAAGCTCCCTGACAGCACAATTTACAACTAAAGTGTCAGGAAAGAACAAGGAAAACAGAGTGTGCTCATAGGATATAAATTTGGATTCTGCTTTATTAATTTCCCATGGATTTCACAAACATAGCATGAAATTCTTATTTTTATTTGCATTTACAAGTGTAAAAATTACATATCCAAATAGAGACTAACTCTGCATCTATTACACAGTAAGTTCCTCTCTTTCTTAAGAGAAAGAGTCTCTCAAGCCCAGTGTCTGTTTTTTTTTTTTCTCAAATCTACTCTCTGATACATCTTAAAGCAGAAAAATCTTAAATCTTAAAAAAAAAAACCCTGAGGCCATTCAACTGCATCACCTTTGCTACCTCCACGCAAGCAGTCAACTCCTTGTAGCTTGCCTTATGTGTTTTTTCTTTCAAATTTTATATATTGTAGGTTTATGCTACTGCTCAAGTACTATTTGTACACTGAGCAAGGAGATTGAAAGGCGCTATTTGGGGCAGGTTTTCAGGAAGTGCGTTGCTGGGGGTAAAGGGATTCCTGTTCTCATGTGCAGGTGGCTATTTGAGCTTACGTAACTGAGACGTTGTAGGAAAGAAAGGTCGGAGAGGTGCGCTTACTTGATGGGATTCCTGCTGGCATCCGGATCTTGAGCTGTGACTGAGCCTATGGTGGTGTTTATCTGAGCATCTTCTCTGATTTGAAGGATGTAGGCTAGTTTGCTGAAGACCGGTGGCTCATCGACATCCTCCACTACGATTCTCACTGTGGCTGAATCTTTGAAGGGACCCAGGTATTGAAATCGAGTTTCCACACGGGGATTGGAGGCTTCCACCTTGAGCGTATATACTTTCTTCTTTTCAAAGTCCAAGAGCTTGGGGAGGAAAGTGACATACTTAAAGCAGCCAAGATGCAGAAAGCCAAGTCATGAACTCTCTCTCTCTCTCTCTCTCTCTCTCTCTCTCTCTCTCTCTCTCTCTCTGTATGAAACTCTGATAAGGAAATGTGATGGTTGCTTGGAGAAATTGTTATACGTTCGCTTGATATGAGGCCTGAGAGAGTAAATATAGGAATAATTAATTTTTCCCTACAACTTAGATCTTTGGGAAGCAAACTACGATGCAATCTATAGATGATTTCAGCTGCCACAACTCTGATGAAGTGTGGACTGAAACCATTACCTGCTGTTCATTAAAAGTGGGTGGCCGGGTGCTAGCCATCACATATGGCAGGAACAGAAGCTGGAAGCAGGAATCTGCTACAGCCTAACTCCCTGCTTTAAGATAATCCTTGCGTTGATGAGAAGGAGCCACCGCGGGGAAAGTTGGTTATATGCAGTAGATTATTTTGTCAGCTGTTCTCGTATTAGGCTTTAATTATACCTACAGTGTTGAAAACTTGTTAGTGCCTGGTCCCTACTCTAGTCAACTAAATCAAAATACTATACATGGGCTGGGGAATGGTAACACTTCCCAATGGGACTAAGGTGTGGCTAGTTTCACACCATGATTTCTTCTTCATTCAAATAAAATAGGTTAAAATTTATTTTGCTCAAGTTACTAAAATATTGTGAATGATATCCTGATAGAGGAATTGGGTTTTTTATTTGCCAAAGAAAGAAATGACTATGGTTCACAAAGACCTTTGGGAAGAGGAGGCTCTGCGTTTGGAGACACAGTGAGTCCAAGCACTTCTTACTGGTTTTTAGTTTTAGATGATAATGTAACAAGGCTTGCTAGAAACAGAATTAATCAAGATGTTAGTGAATGTGATTTAGTTGGCTAGGCAAAATTTCACTTTGAATCTGATAAAGCACCAAGAAAATGAAAAAGTTTAATGTGCACTAATGGGTTTCCTAATTACATTATGGTATAAAACATTGGTTTCCGTGTCGCTGAGACATGTTTTATTATGTTTCTAGATATTAAGACATGTTTTGAAGAGGAAAATTTTTCTTGTTATTTACGTGCCCCTATGCTTATATTAATCAGAAAACATAATATGCAATATTATACTACATATGATAAAAGGGAAATCATTAAAATGAACCACAATTCATACTTTTAGCCTTAAGGCACCAAATTTCTTATTGTTTTTGAACTTTTGTTACCCTTTGGCATACTCCTCTGTGGTATTAGAAGATTTTGGTGGCCAAATAATGCATCGGCACATTGGCAACACCAAGAATCCAGTGCATAAAAGATTTATTATCATTGTGCTTCAGAAAGTAGCTGAAAAGTCACGAAAGATTCCTATTACTTAAATCTGTGATCTTCATATGTCTTCTCTTCCCAGTTCAGGTCATATTGATCACTCCTTGCGTTAGCTTTTGTGCTTTACAGTGGGTATCACAGTACGCAGGCATACACTGGGGCATTCATTTGCCCGCTTCTTTGTTTCCTTCCCTCCAAGGCCTGTGAGCTCTAGGGGAAGCAGAGAATGCTGTGGTGCATGCTGCTGCACCGCCAGCCCTTGGAGTAGTGTCTAGGGTGGTCTGTTCACCCACCCTTGGTGTCTATTATTAATATCATGTGTTTGAATGTGTGTCCTTTGTTTACATCATATACGTAGGCAAACCATGTGTTTAAAGTATAGAATTAATAACAATCTAATGCTCTAAAGAACAACCCATGAGATCTCAGCCTAATCTGAAATGGGGCTTTAAAAACAAAAATTGTTAGAATAAGAATCTGAAGGAAACCTTATGTAAGATGTGAACTGCCCCCATGTAACCTGAAAATGCATCAGAGAATGGTGTATTTATTTACAGGACATTGAAGAAATGCCATTACCTTTCTGACAGTTATAATCCCTTCCTGGGTTTCCTGGTCAGTGATGACATCAAACATATCCAGTCCCTCACCGTCTGTGATGCTGTACACAATTTCGGCATTTTCTCCTACATCAGCGTCGCTGGCTTTGATCCTGCCGATTGGTGTACCCGGTGGAGAAGATTCAGGAGTTTTAAATTGATATGTACCTATTAGTCACCAGACAGATATGAGTCAAACACAGGCTAAGCATACACTATCAACGTAAGCTAATCCTCCCTTCCCATGAGGGATATGTTCCAAGCCCTCAAGATGCCTGAAATTGGCTAGTGCTAAACCCTAAGTACTATATACTGCGTTGTTTTCTTATACCATATATACCTATGATAAAGCTTAATTTATTAGTTAAGCACCATAAAAATTTAATAATAGCTAATAATAAACCAAGGGCAATTACATCAATATGCTATAATAAAATTTATTTGAAACATTAAGTATTAATTTCTGAAATATCCTTTTTAATACTTTCAGACTATGGCTGACAGTGGGTATGGGAAACTGCGAAAGCAAGACCCTAGGCAATGGGGGACTACTGTAGAAGCAACATCCATTTTTTCTAGCAGTCCTATAAAATATCACAATTAATTGAAGCAAATTCATTCTTTCTTTAAAAGCACATTCATTCTTCAAAATAATGGGTTTCATTCTGCTTGTGATGTGGCTACTATGATCCTTAGGAATATTTCTTCTATTGCATGACTTTTGTCTTTGAAGATAGTTTTTGGTTCCATAAACACGCTTCCAAGTTAATGTGTGACCGTGAGACTGACTGACATGCCTGAGGAGGGGCAGAAGGTTTTGAAGCCTGCTCTGAATGTAATCTAAGGGAAAGAAAAGAGAACTTAATTGGATCTTAGACTTGAAGCCAATTACTAGGTATTCTGTAAAAGATTTTTTTTTTTTTTTTGCCATTGCTCAGACTAGCAGAAGGTGGAAGCAAATTATAGTAATTTGGAGACTATGTATAAGTAGATGTCCTTTTACGCACAGGGAGAGCTATGGCTAGCTGCAGAGTTAGAGATATAGGTAAGTATACTGTGTGATAAAGCTCTTTAACTTTTGGATAATTCTCTCTTTCCAATTTTGTTACAATATTTTTCTCTGCATAGATTTTTTTTTCCATACTCTTGTTACTAATTCAGAATCTTTCATAGATGAACAATTTTGTTATATCTTCATGTTGCAGAATTAAAGAGATTACATGTAATCCTCAGTTTAAATCTGACAGGGCAGCGTGTAATTAGAACTAAATAAAATACAGGAGTAAAACCAAGTTTTTCCATTCTTATTCATTATATTTTGTCAAACATTCATATGAATAATTTGGAAAAAAACCGAACTGTGATACCACTAAAGTATAGGTCTTCAATAATATTAATTCCTTGAATATTGTGAGGCATTCTTGGTAAAATGATAAAGTAGGTCATGCTTCTTGAGTGGGTTCAAGCCCCACTTTTAGGGCTTCTTGCCTCTTGCTATATTTTCAGTCCCTTTGCCTCAGCACACTGCCTGGCACCAAGTCATAGGCCACACGAGGAAAGAGTAGAGTTAATGGCAGCTCCCTGTGACACCAAGGCGCCCGTGAGTCCCCATGGTATTGTCCACTGCACCCTGGCTTTCCATATTGAAAATGAGGTTTTGGGGTAAAATATTGGTTATCCTGATATTTTCAGGCTTCTGTGGGGGAAATGTTATACTCCACAAGATTTTTCTTCTACTTATCAGATATAAAAATAGTTGATTATTTATTCTGCTTTTGCATTTAGCTAACTCTTATCTAGTCCTTAAAAAAAAAAAACCCTATAATTAAACTCTTTCCTATTGAATTTTTGAATCCCCATTCACTGATTGAGATAACTTAGGAGATCCTAGTCAGAATGAGATTTTATTCCTGGAGGAAAATTGTATTAAAACCAGTTTCTATTGGTGCAAGAGGAAAGGATCTTATATGCTGCTTGATATAGTCTGTGGCCCCAGGTATGGCTTTTTCTTTTCTTTTTTTTCTCTCTCTCTCTTTTTTTTATTTAGGACAGGTTATAGAGGGTCTCACTGCATAGATCAGACTCATAGTGGTCCGCCTATGAGTCTGGGCCTCCTAAGTCCTGGGATTACAGGTGCACACCACCATGCCCAGTTTCAATCACTGTTTTAGCATGCCCCAGGGGCAGGGCAGGCACAGCAGGCCAGGGAATCGAATTGGGTCCTGCTTCTGCCTAAGCAGGCACTTTAATCGGCTGAGCTATTTGGCTGGCTGACTTTTTCTTTTTACTTAATCATAAGTTAATAATTTCAACTATTTAATCAAAAAAGTTAATAATTTTAGAGATGATTTCAGTATCTCCATTAGCCCTAATGTACAAAACTATTTATGATTACAAATGGATTAAATACATAGTTGCTTCCACAGTCATATTTTTAGAAATAGGAAAACGATAAATCCTTTCCTTGCAAAGCATTGTGAGGATTTAAAAGAGATTACATGCCTGATTAAATTCACGAAACATCAAGTCAGGTTTTTCCTAACAAATAGCAGCATGCTTCTGTACATATGTTTGGCACAAGTAAATTTATGTCTCTGCTAGTCTTTTTAATAAGGGAAGAGAAAATAACGATGTTGCTTTTTTAACAGCAGCCATATCGGGAATCACTTAGCTAATTACCAATGGTGGAACATAAATGTTCATACTTCCTGAGCAGAAGCAGTGTTGTCAACTCCTTCTAACAATTTTAATGAAAATACCAGTTTGTACTAAGTCCACACGTTTTGACAATAATAACAGTGGGAAATAAATATTCTCAAGGTAAGAATTTTATGCAATGCATGAAAGAAACCCATTCAATCCAATGGTCCTACTCTGGGGGAATCGGGGAGGGTTGTCGTTGACATCGGTCAGCGTGATGTTCACCGTGGTGGTCCCCGACAGGCCCCCCATCTGGCCGCCCATGTCCTTGGCTTGGATCACCACTTGGTACTGCTCTCTGTTTTCTCGATCCATGTTGAGCAAAGCTGTCTTGATGATGCCTACAGATGTGGAAGTGAGGAGTGGAAAGGGACACATTAAGAATGCTTTATGGAATCATTTATTTATGCAGAGACTGCCACCCACAGTATGCAAAGCACTCAGCAGATGTCACAGTGATATAAAGATGATTCTCTACAGCCTTTAGCTGAAAGATATTACAACTACACAAGGGAGAGGAATACATTTTTAAAAGTCTATAATACAAGGAGAAGAAAGAGTACATACAAGTCAAACCCTACAGTAGTATAGACTAGAAGTAGTATAAATATTAGGTGTCAGATCTCGACGATACAATGGCACATACCATAGGGCATCTACCATGGTAGCCGCTAACTAATGCCACAAAGGTGTATTATGAGCAGATTGTTAAGAAAGCCATATCCTCAACTTCCGTGTTTTACATTGCTGAGGTAGCTAATTGCTTCTCAAATTAATGTACAATAAATAATGTTCTGAAAAGTTTCTAAACCATAAAATTATGGTATTAAAAAAAGAAAACGTGGCATCATTTCTCTTGCAGTTACCTGCTCGTATAGTACTTGAGACTTTAGGTTTGCCTCAAGCTGATGTGAGCATTTGTTTAACTAGTCTCCAAAGTAACTAACATTTTAAAGTTAGGTTAAGTTTATCTGGATTGCTTGGTAGTTTTAAGATAATTAGTTGAAAGAAATTATAAGTTTACTTAATCTCTATAGAAGGTTTATGTTTAAATTAACTTTCTTTAAAAAAAAAAGTACTGGAGAAGCCTTTATAACCAACCATCTCTGGTCACACATTCCAGTACTTCACAACTAATGAAGCTGAAAATATCATTAAATTTTTTTAAAACAAGAATACCTTAGACAACAGGTCAATTTTATTTCCATAGCCTTTGGCTTCTAAGTGAGCTGCTTCCTGTTCTCCAAATAATAGTGCTTAAATACTGGAAATCATCTTAGCCATTTGTTCTTTAGGTTGAATAATTCTAATTTTTAATTCTCTTTGTTTTTCAACTCAAACATTTTCTTTTTCCTTGGAATTCTTTCCAAGTTAACTGCATCTTTAACACACAGATTTCCAACTGGATGTAGCAACCTAGAAAGGTTGTGATTTCTACTAAAAATAATGGATGTTTGAAAAACACACAAAAGGAACTTTGCTCCTTTTATAACAGTGAGAACACGTGCACAATTTCCTATATTTACTGCTACTCACTATAGAACAAAACATCAGAGAATATGCTACTCTGTTGGGGGGAATGTAGAAAAGTGACAAGATAAGACACTGACAAAAAGATTTGATGGGTATTTCGTTGTAAGATTGCATCAGGGAGGCTGGGTAATGATGTCCCAGCAACAATGGGAAATCTCAGTTGCTTCACATAGCTGGTTTAGTTATCACTCGTGCTCTGAACAGATGAGCAGGAAGTTCTGCTCTTGGTCACACGGGGTGACCTGGGCCCATCTCAACAGAGGCTGCCATGATTAGTATGTCAGGGGAAGGATCGTGACCAGTTGTAAGGCAGCGTTATGAATTCTGCTTGCATCACCTGCAGCCACATTTTATTTGCGCCAATCAATCACATAGACATGTTCAACTTCAGTGTAGAACAGCAAAATGCAGTCCTATCAAATAGCTAGAAAAGGAAGAGTCAGTATGTCTAAAAATCCCCATGAGTTATCAGAAATGGTTAGTCTCTTCTCTTTACCCCAAACTGGAAGAAAAACAAAGTAATGTGTAATTTTTCTGCATCTACTTATATAAACATGGTGGATGTAAGATTCATCATCAGATTTCTTGATTAAAATGATCCTGATGCTATGCTTGCAAATACATCGTCAGTGTTTGGCATAGGAATACAAGAAAATTCAATCACACTGATTGTTTTTATTAAAAAAATATGCTAGCTCAGCTGAGCATATCAATTAAAATTATAGATCATAGAAAAGAAGACCAAAAGGAATTCTAACCTGTTTCTGACTCAACTGAAAAATAAGGCTGTCCCTGCAGGATGCTGTAGACAACTTTAGCACTGTTCCCATATGTTGGATCGTCAGCATCAGTGGCAGTGACTTGGACAACAAATGTGCCTGTAAAGACAGAAACATCAAGTGAAAACAAACGAAGCATTCATTATGCTTCTTAGTGTGTACACACACACACACACACACACACACACACACCCAAGTTTCATTTTGTATAAAGATATCTTCAATGAGACATTTGGTTAAAAAGCCTTGAATCCTTCACTGTGAAGGCATGCAACAATCATTAATAAATACTGGAAGGGCTGGGGTTCAAAAGAAGTAGAGGGGGTGACAATGACCTCATTTGGAACTGAGTCCCAATCATTTCCATAGCCAGGATTTGAATACATTGTTGCTGTAGTGATTTTTTCAAATTATTCACAAGTAACTCTTACATTATTTTGTACACAAAATTCATTCAGGAGCTGTCCAGCCAGGTGGCCCCTCGTGATGTTGCTAGCTAGCTTGTCACTGATGCTCTTTCTCTGGACTGTAATGTGCCTACAAGAAGGCACAAGGCAGCAATTTTATGATGTTAGAAACAGCAGCCTGAGGACAAAGCCTGCCCTGTTGTGTGATGAAAGTGTGGTGAATATGTACCTTGAATATTTATTGTTGTAGGGTACACGCTGTCGCGAATCCCTGCCCCTTACTTTGAACACGCTTATCCCATCATTCTTCCAACTCTCTGAAGCAGCTCTACCATCTCCTTTCAGGAGTGTCTTTAGTTATATGACTGTGGCTGCCTTGACATCCTAAGTTGATCGAAAGTGTTGATGGCAATTTCTGTCAAAAATATACCGGGGTCCTCATCTGCCTTATTCAATGGATCTGGCTCTGCACGGCTCCTTGCGCTTCCCTAAGGTCAAAATGACCATGAAGGTACACATTTTCAATTGATTGAGGACCTTCAGGCTGCTGTGGCAGTGAACCGGAGATGGTCAATGAAAGACTTTCAGAACTGCTTCAGCAAGTGGCAAAAATGATAGAGTAAGTGTATTTGAATCAAGAAGCAGTGTTTTGAGGGAGATTATTGTAAAAAATTTTAAAAAATGAAATGCACACAGTACTTTTTGATCATGCTTGTATAACTTAAAACTAGAAAGAAAGAGCTAGAATCCATACCAAGTAATGTACAAAGCCCTTCATACTTTTCTACTTATGTGAGGCCCTCTGATTAAGATAATTTTATGGCTAACTTTGATATTCCCTTCAGATAAAGAGTGAGTATACTGTTACAATTCTTCAATCTGTAAAAAGGGCAAGGAAGTTACATCTAGGGAATAGTAGAATTTTAAAATTGCTTTTATAATATCTGGCCAATTTCATTTATTGAACAAATGGATTATACTATGTCAAGGTTGAAGGATCTGGATGGCGCATCCTGGTTCATGAGGCGTAGCTCCCACCTTTGTAAAGGAAGGTGGGGAGAATGAGAGCCTTATGTGATTTTAGAGGATGAGCCAATAGAAGCCACAGCCCAAGTTCTTATCTGCATTGAAATGAAACTTGATCACTTTTGGTATATGCTTATGTAAATATTTTAGGTACCTGCTAGTTGCCAGATATTGTATTAGAGACTCTGCATCTGTTTTTTTATTTAACATTCATAATAACCCTTAGGAGTTGTCATTTATTATTTATTTTTTATAGAGACAGAACTGGAGGATCAAAGGAATCAGGATCAGAGAAATAAAGTAATTCGCCCATGGCTACGCTGCTAGTTATTACTGCAGATAGTTTCAAATTTAGATCTGTTTGATACCATAGTTTATTTTTTGACCTCCCTATTATTGTTCTACTCTCTTAATGTAATTTTGCAAAGAGCCTTTGTATATCATAATGATGGTATATACATTTATAATATTGATTAATAGCAACATTCTTGTGCCTGCATGCAAAATGGGAGAAAGCCTTTTGTCAATGAATGTTACTGCCGGCTAGCCCCAAATATTTGTCATACATATGTGATTCCATAGTGGTCTTGACAGTGGACTTTCCCCTTGCAATTGCTTAGTGCATAACCCATATATTGGCTATTCTGGATGATCCCAGTGACAAGACTGCCGTCCATCAATTCTTCTGCCTTTTACCTTTTAAAGGAACAATACTATGTTGCCTAATAAACTTTTCTCTTTAAAGAATTCTAATTCATCTTTTTGCTTTGATGAGAATGGTGAGATTCTTCTCTAACAAAACCAAGTAGCTCAGGGGCGGGGGACGGAGAGCAAGTAGTTGAGATGTTTCCCTTTTGATTTCTCACCCTGCTGTTTATCAGACCCTCATCATTACAGGAAATGCTGTTTTCTTATCTTTTTTTTTTTTTTTAAATGTATTTAGTACAGGGTCTGCAGGGTCTTAATATGTAGAGTGGACTCATAGTGATCCGCCTGTTTTCAGCCTCCCAACCCCTGGGATTACAGGTGTGTGCCAGCACGCCCGGTCTCAATCTCTGTCTCAGCGCGCCCTGGAGGGGGGCCCGCATGGCACACAGGGATCAGACCCGGCCGCTGCTCTCTGCCTAAGCAGGTGCTTTAGTCTGCTGAGCTATCTGGAGGGCCCAAAATGCTATTTTCTGAAACAAGATGAGACTAGGGTAATTTTAATCAGCACTTATGTACTTATAAAAAAAATGTGGATTGTTTGGAAATACTCTGCCTTGGGGATACAGCAGTCTAACTTCTTTCAGCTCAGCAAATGTGGCTCAGAGGACGCATAGAGGAGAATCCCATGGCAGGAATCCCATCCCACTCACCGACATCAGACATTTCTGGAACAGTAGCTGTGTAAACCTCCTTGGTGAATATCGGTTCATTGTCATTGATGTCATGGATCTTGATGATGAATTCAGACTCGGGCTCGACAGGTCTCCCTGTCCTTCTGTTAATAGCTTGTGCTCGAAGGATGTAAACCGGTTTTTCCTCCCTGTCCAACCTTTTGGTGGCCTGTATGTCGCCAGTGTTTTCATTGATAATGAAGAGATCTCCTGCTCCATCTCCTGAAAGGATATATTTAAGTGATCCATCTCCTCTATCCTGGTCTGAATGTAACTAGTGTAGGAAAAAAAAAATTAAAAAAAGCAAAAGTCAAGCATGTGATCCTGAATTGTTTTTGTGTTTATGTTGCATTTTGTGTTAATTTCATTCAATGCTTTCCAAAAATATACAGATTTTTTATTTACATAACCCATCAATAACAAATAACATCAGTTAATAAACATGTCCTCATAATCATGGAATTTTCCAGACTGAAATGAAGTTTGAGAAAAATTTAGGGATCTTTGTTTTGTAGAGGGAAAAGCTTTAAAAGCCAGAGCAACAGTAAGGGGCCTACGGATGCATGAGCTTTGCCGGGATGAAGTTTTTTCACGGCAGCACTCAGGGTCTGCTTACACACGTTCTCCACACTCGGATGCATGCACGCCTACTGGACAAATGATGGTCCTGCAAAAGGACTTTGGTTTCTGAGTCGGAGACAGCCAGGTATATCCTGCCTCTTGGTGAATACAGGGAGCTAACCCATCTCTTTGGATTGTTAGGATGGAGACTATAATTCTTTTCCTGGGGAAATATGATGTTTACTCATTTATGAAACTTAACTCAAAGCATTTGAGTGACATCGTAAGTGTTGCCATGAACAATGCCTTCGGAACCATCTTCCTAGGTAATTTATGAGATCGGTTGGAAGAATGATGTTTGACATTCAGATTTTAGTATATAATAAAAACGGACCTTCTGAGATACAGAGCCTGGTGAACATTGAAATGGTCTGCACTACAAGGTAGGGAGCTCCAGGCTCCGAAGGATAATCAGCAGTAGAGCGGGTCCTTAGCAAGGGCTGGAGGGAATGAGTGGTAGGCTATCCGGGAAGTGCAGGGTGATGGCCTAAACTTGGAGAGGCAGGCCGCGTTCCTCTTAAAGATCATTGCCACAGCACTGAGTTTCTGTTGTCTCCTTAATTCTGTTTTTCATATCTAGCAAAACTTTAGGTCTTCAGATAATCTAACTTTCTTCACCAATTTTAAGAGTGTTTTTTTTTTTTTTTGTTTGTTTTTTGTTTTTTGTATTTTAGGGAAGGATCTACAGGGTGTTCAGGGTTTCACTACTAGATTGGACTCATAGTGATCCAAGAGCTGGGATGACAGGTGCATGCCACCATGCCCAGTTTCAACTGCTGTCTCAGTGTGCCCCAGGGGGCGGGTCCAGCACCCCAGGCTCTGGGATGGAACCCCTGGCCTCTGTGCCTGCTTGCAGGTGCTTTAATCCATTGAGCTATTTGGCCAGTCCTTTTTGGTTGAGGAAGACTTTTTCAAAGCCAGAGATAGAGGCACCAGGAACACAGAGACAAGTTAGTTGTAATAGGAAAGCTGCTGGTCTATCTTTTTTTTAGTTCTGCTGAAACAGAGGAGCTCTGTTACCACAATGAAGGCAGCAGGTAGAGCAGCTCTGTCCTCTTGACGGATACTGCACAAGATGCTCAGTGGAGTGTCCACAAACATTTGAGAAGGACTCCCGGGGGAAAAAAGAGTCTTAGGAAATTATCCAAACAATCTTTTGTAAGACACACCTTTAAGTGCGTTCTGTGGAGTATCATTCACCTGGAATGCAGAGAGGAAGGATCCTGTGGTCCAAAGAATTTGCAGCTTCCTTGGTTTTTTTATTTTTATTTTTATTTTTTAACCGTGTCTAATGCTACACGGCTACAGCTAGTTACTTGCAGAGTTTGGGAATGAGAATATCATTCATACAATTAGTAGCTTTGAAAGCAATTTGGCAGGAATAATGGAAGATAAATGTGAATGGGGAGGAAATGGCTTAGAAGTGAGACAAATGCAGTACGAAATGTGAAGCAAGAGCGCTCCCTGATTTGGGTAATGTGACATGCTAAGGGAACCTTGAAGCCATGATGACACAGAAAGAGCCTCTGGGGAAAGTAACTTTCCATTGTCAGCTCCTAATGAGTGAAGAGTACTTTTAAAAAGCTATTTCATTAAGTCAGGAGTAAAGCAACGCAACTGGCCTGGCTGCGCTTCGGATCCCTGCTGCAGGCAGGGCAGCTCTGGTCAGCAGCTCGGTGCAGTGTGAGGTGCCACACGCAGGTCCTAAGTGTGGGTCACGTTCCTTCTCTTTGCCTTCCCAAGTGTAAGATGCTAACAGCTAATTAATCACCCCGGGCCAGGGTGCTTATCAATAAAGCAAAGATAATAAGAGCTACACAACAAGGCTGTTGGGAAGACCTAATTAGACATCGTATACAAATGCCACACTAATTGTTACGTGAACACGTAATGAAAGTACAATATGTGTTTTATAAATTACAAAACGCCTCCCAACTTAAAGACTTTGCTATGGTCATTAGTTTTTAGTTCATAATCAGCATGTTTTTGCTCATGATTCTGACTTTGAGAACTTTGTTTTGAAGATTTGCAAAACTGAATTTTACTAACGCCCCATATCTCTAAGGTAAAATCTGTTATCAAGAGCCGGTATCCTTCTACCTGGTGGCAACTGCTACCTTTCAATGTGATTTATTATGTTCTGCATTCCACTAGATTATAGACTCTCTGTGGCCGGTTCTTTCATCATTTTCAATATGTAATTGTTGCACACTTAGTAGGTGAATATCACATCTGGTCACAAGATTTATTCAGGTAAAAGTAATCAGAAACTTATTTTTAGCTGTCAGGAAAGACCATTTCAGTGACTTATAGAACAAACACCCCAGACAATATCGAGGAGCAGAGGAGATGCCAAAGAAGAGTGGGAGCTGGGATTGGGTTTGCAGATCAAAATTCTGATTTATCAATATTTGAAAACTAGTGGGAAAAAACACATCTCTTCACTCAAGCATTGTCTGATAACAAAACAATTTAACCTCTTCCCCCCACTGAGCCTTATCTGGGTATGAACCAGCAGTGTTCACAGCAGAAACCTCTAAATGCCTCCTTTCTGGGTCCCCACTTTCTTCCCCTCTGCTGAACTCCCCTGGAACTGGTTCTTTCCTCTCTTCTTGGGGAAAAATGAAACAGAAGGTATTGGTGCCCACGAAGGCAGTGGTAACAGTCAGACATTAGGGGTTTATTGAGCAGTTAGATTTTAATTGGAATTTTTTCTTTTGGGATGTCATTCATCAAGGCCACTGTAAAAGACAGAAGTTAAACAACAACAAATAAAAGGTTGGAGGTGGCCCGAGGCATGTTCTTACTAATTTCAGTTTAATGTAGCTGTTCCATTAAGGTTAATCATCTGGTTCACTTTGAATGGTGCACCATCAAGTAAAAATATTTCCACTCCCCTCAGACAGTCACACCTCTCTTGCAGTGGACAGGATGCTTTGCTGCTGTGTCTGTAGCACTGTGTGCCAGAAGGGGCTCTTGGTCTGGCTCACTTTTTCTTTTTTTTTTTTTTAAATAAAAACAAGCGTCAGGGCCGGGGAGATGGCTCAATAGAATAAGCACTTGCCTGGCAAGCCCAAGGGCCTGAGTTCAATCCCTGGCTCAGCCAAAAAAAAAAAAGAAAGAAAGAAAGAAAGAAAGAAAGAAAGAAAGAAAGGAAGGAAGGAAGGAAGAAAGAAAGAAAGAAAGAAAGAAAGAAAGAAAGAAAGAAAGAAAAACAAGGGTCTTGGCCAGTGACACAGGAATCTGTGGCTGTCATATGGTTCTCTGGAGGGCCTTACCAGGTGGTGGTGGACTCTTTGCCTGTGGTGCTGTGTATCCTTGGGGGGCATAGTTTCCTTTTTCTTGCTGCATGGACCAGCCTCCAACTTAATTTTGCATTCCATTCATGGGTATAGCATTAATTATATAGATTTTTGGTGATCTATGAAGCCAGCTAATGCTGCTCTTTTACTCTGACTTCCTATGTGTCACTGAGTCACTATCTGAGTCAGTGAGCAAACAGAGTGTTCTAAGTGTGTGTGTTGTGGAGACAGAAAATGGCCTTTGCAAAATCTTATATAGAGGGTCGGTCAGATGGCTCAGTGGACTAAAGCACCTGCTTAGGCAGAGCGCAGTGGCCAGGGGTCAATTCCTGGCATGCCGTGCTGGCCCTGAGCCTGGGTGTGCTGAGACAGCGATTGAGACGGTGTGGTGGCACATGCCTGTAATTCCAGTGCTTGGGAGGCTGAAAACAGGAGAATCACTATGAGTCCGATCTACATAGTGAGACCCTGTAGACCCTGTCCTAAGCACAGAAAAAAAAAATCTTATCTAGATAGCACACATCAGTACCTAGGACAGACGGAAAGGAAATTAGGGAAACATGTGATGCTTAATTGAAGCAAATGATTGAATCACGACCAATATGTTGATAAAGTGTGGTATGTATGACGCAGCCCTGTAGGTTAGTAATGAGAGCTAATCTAAGGTGTCATAGGACACTCGAGGACAGCTGTGATGAAAATATGCCAGTAGTTCCACCTGGGGACATGGCTTTAATACATCCCTTCTCTGATTCTTCCATAGTAATTAATGGTTCAGGAAGGCTTAAGGATTTTCAGCTTTTTCATCAAAATTTCACAGTGTAGTATGTGGGAATGTGAAGAGGGAGACTTGGCCAGGATCCGCTTGTTCTGCCTTTTATTCCCACAGAATGCAGAGTAAGTGTGGCAGAGCCTGCATACTCCAGACTGGTGAGGAGCATGCCTAAGAGGACACAGCAAGATCACAGAGCGAACGAGGCTTGGGCCTCAGAATAACCTCCCATCTGACCTGCTTATAATACAAAATCATGTTTTTGAGGGTTTTTGTTTATTTTTATTGTTAATGTAGTTCTGCCTTTACCCTCTCTCCTTCTCCAAGGGCAGTCTCTGGGGCAGCAGCATCACCTGGAACTAGACAGAAATCCGTATTCTAGGTCTGCCCTCCCTCCAGCATAAGATGCTCAGGGGGTATCACCAGCATTGTGTTGCAAAAAGCCCTCCAGGTAATTCTGATGAGTACTCAAGTTTGAGAACTACTGTCTTACCTAGTAAAATCATAATAGTTAGAAGCAAAGAATTTTGGAGAAAGAGATAAATGCAAATCCACACTACACACTAGTCATGTAGCCTT